TAATATAATGGATTTCCGAAAAATAACGTCTGATACTATTAATTAGTGAGTAAAGTGACACATAAATCCAATTTTCTATAGAGTAGGTACAAAGAACATGTGGCTCCACTGATGGGAAGCATCACTCTTTTCCAGAAACATTCTAATCACCGTAGGAATTGCAAATACGTTGAGCTTTCTTTCTTTCTTAAAGGCTTCCAAGTCATATGGGTCAGGAAAAACCACTGGTGTCAACAGTTCCCACAAAGTGAGCGTGTGTGGTAGATAATTATAAATTTAGCAGACTTAAAATGTATTTCCTTAACATCATATTCATCATCAGGATGGATATAGTAGTACGCGTTTATTAACTGCAATAACAATTTACCATAAGGAATACCATCAGTCTTAATTCTTAATCACATAAAGGATTCCAATTAGGTTCCCGATCACACATGTGATACTGATTGTAATTTTTTTTTAAATAATGAAGCATGTGAGTAATGTCACAGAATAAAAATAATAGTACTACGTATTAATGTCAATGTAATACATACAAGAAATACTGTAATGCTTAGAATAAAAAAATATGTATTTATATTTGGAAGCTTGATTACGTTATAGGGTATGTACTAATCTAGTTAGAGGCAGACCGGTTTAGATAAAACTGCGTCAGTTAGGTTCTAAATATCCATCAGTTTAGCGCTAGACCTTGACATTGAATCTTATTTATTCCCCTATTCAAAGAACCGGTTATGTCTTAATATTATAAAACTCATTTCCCGGATGAATACATGTGGTACTAAGCCTGCCTGGTTTTGAATAAAGAGGTATGCAACTGCTGCTTGTAAAATAGTGTGATTATAGTAATTTTCATTTGTCATTATATCATTATTATGATAATAAAAAGTAAGAAAAGAAATGTGACATATTTAAACTTTTAAGCCCCGCACTATCGTAGGTTTTTATATCTACATAGGTAATTATATCGTTTATGAAAAATTCATTTCTATTACACATTTGTTCTTTAATTTACTTCATTGGTAGGTATAAAAAGGTGTTGTATTACAATAGAAAGCTAAGGAATATCATTTCTAAACGTTGTCAATTTGTCTGTTATTGGAGACAACAGTTTTATAGCGTGCCACGTTATTCAACATTATGAGTAAGAGCGACGTATGCATTGTGTCGTCGTTAGGCTGTGCGCTATTGTTCCTCCAATAGCAACAATGGCTTTTGATGAACATGTTACGATGTTGATTTCATTAATGGAGCACACGATGCTATTTCTGGAATTATTTCTTTGATGTTCAATACCAGGTAATTGGTAAATGATTTTGTACCTATGTACATTCTACAATCATAAAATCTCCCGCTTCAGAAGGGGATATTTGCCATAGTTACCACGCTTGGCAGCATTGAGGTGGGATGAGGCAATCTATGGGGAGGTCGACGTTCAACAGTGGACTTTGTTAGGCTGTTACGGTAAAATCGCCTGTGTTCATTTATTTGAATTTGAATATAATTATTTCTTCTTTTATAATTTAACTATTTTAAAATTGTGTGTAGTTATGTTTGTAATATTTTGGTTATATAGCTAATACCAAGACCAATGACAGCAATGACGCGACGCGTCGATTTGGATCGATCGGAATCTGTATCTAATAGCAATGGCGCGTAATCAGAGCGGAGGCTGTCAACTCGCCTACTTTACTGATAAGCGATAGCGCGCACCGATCTTGGATATCATATTTATGACTGCTATTCAATCGTTGTTCCAATCTAACTGCGCTACCACATTCTAGATATTAGAAAGTTTGCCTAATTTAGAAGGTGGTATGGGTTAAGTTTACCACATTTTATTTATACTATCCTAAGTTGTTGTACAGAAAAATGATTTGAAATGTTATAATACGCGGGAATATTAATAAGATACCATATATAATTCGTATGTCAAAAGAAGTATTTTGTTCTTTACAAACCCAATCATTTTGGTTTAACTTTAAAATATTTAAAATATTTTTATAGAATGGGGGTGACAAACGAGCACACAGTCCACCTGATTTAAATTGATGCTGTGGCCCATAGACATCTATATTTGTCCTCGATTAAGAATCAAAATGCAGATGCGTTGTTACCCCTGAGTACTAAGAGGGAATGCCTCGTTTCCAGTAAGAAGGGTCTCCGATTCTCTACACTCACCATACGAAACACAGCAGAATTAAGCTGCTATTCTGTGAGAGCGTGGTCATACTCATGCCCCGATCGAGTCGACCCATTCGTGCTACAATTATACTACTAATATATTATGTAGCTGGGGTATGGCTCTACCACGTGAAGAGAGATATTTGTATTTGTACAGAATTCGCTCAAATTTTTTTCTTCCTTATCCTCACCCGCCTGTAAAAACAGTACATTCAGATCTGCAAGTCGGGATGATTTGCTGTAATATACCGCAGTACTAGATAACTAGACTATGACGCTGCTTTCCATTGTCAGTGTGAGAATTGTATATCTAGTAGGTATATAAAAGATATATCGTATACATAAGCAAGATCTTCGAGGCCTTTTACTAAGTCATCTCTTAAGACTTCCACGGAATGAGGGGAGGAAGTGGATACTTTATGTAAATAATCACTTGGATATAAAAATTATTTTTTACAAATTGTAAAGCCAATGAAAAATAAAACTCGGATACAATCACTTGTATAGAGAAGCCAAAAATAAAATTTGGTAGTATCGTTAGAGTTTTTTTTTCATGCGTACAGAAAGTAAAGGCTTCTATAATATGAGTATTGATTAAAGCAAAACGCTTTTCCTATAATGCGATTCCGTAACGATTGATTCTATTATCATTGTCGGGATAGAAAGTGGAAACTGTTAGAGAAAATCAAAAAAAAATGTATTGGTTAGTTTTCTTCGTGCTTCGTGAGTAGGATAACATAACAACTGAAATCCCTATGGGTGTGTTTTCTCATTTAATATAATAAACCATGTTTGTTTATACGAATCTTTTCTTTTTGTAAACTATAAATGTACTTATATGTATAGAACGTAATAGATCGTATTACTTTCCGAATGCTAATCTTAATGTAGCAATAAATCGTCTTAAAATTACAAATGACGTAAGTTATATTTTTATTAAAAAAGCGACAAGTTGATAGATAAATTCATTTAATTTATGTAAGGTACAAAATTTTCGCAAATAACACTTTGATGAATAATTGACTTCAAGCCTGCTTACCGCATTTGATGGGCTAGGTTTTGTGAATATTTAATAGACTTCCGGGGTTTATAGACTTTTGTATAGATATTTGTAGGTACAGCTAATTATCATTTGCGGCCTGAATTGCGTCTGTTTAGTTTACTTGTGTCTGTCTAATCTACTAACTTATTCTATATAGACTAAGCTATTTTATGGCATAGTGCGGTCTGTTTTCAACTTGTTTCAACAAATGTAAAATGACGACGATAACATAGAACAAACTTTACATTTGAACATAAACATTTTATGGAACCTTCATATTGAAAACAATTCTAATAGAACCATACCATAACATAACATAACATAAACACTCACGCCTGTCACCCAGAGGGGTAGGCAGAGATTATGGACTTCCATTTGGCACGATCCTGACACACCTCTCTCGCTTCCTCCACATCCATATACCTACGCATACACGCTCGTCGGTTAAAGGTACTCTTGTTTTGGCCCATTTTTAAAATATCGCCAATTTGGTCGATAAACTTTCGCCTAGGGCGACCCTTCCCGACTATGCCGTTCACCTCTGCAACATAAATTTGCTTTGTCACTCTTACTTATACCATACTTACAATCAATATTTAAAGAGAAGTCAGTAACCGAAATAACAACCTAAATAACGCTCCTCTGATCTATTTCGATTACGATCACTTAACATCTTGTGAGCATACACTCAGGCAATAATGAATTTTAGAGCTGCAGTACTTTATCATTTTACTGACTATAATAATACTCCGGTTCAAATTTATGAAGATTACAACAGAGGTAAGTTCAACCGCAGTAAGAGATAAGACGAAGATTATGTCTCACATTTTTATATTAGAGTTTTTCGCGCTCCCATATAGTATAATATACGTGTACAATACCGTGGAGAGCTTTACCTTCTTTACCACACCGAGAGTGTAAAGGTTCATCGCCTTCGGAGCTGTGGTGGTTTGGCGTAGACCAGAAAATGGCAATGAGACAAACATCGTAATTTTCACTATAGTATATTAAAACTAAGAAAAATACATGATTTCAGAAATTAAGTGACAAAGTCAAACCTTGGATAAAAGGTAAGTAGTCCGTATCCTAAGCCTGTGAAGTACGAGTAATTTCTTTTAAATAGAACAATGATTCTCAAACTTAAAGGTAAATCAAATCGACTAAAGAGAGTCATTTTTAATTTTTTACGATTTCTTTAACAGACAGCATATTATGTCGAACACGTTGCAAACGAAATAATTGCAAATCTTATTTTATTGCATAGGTGCTTGGAGTTTATTATACTGTTCGCAATAGTTGACATAATATTTAGTACGGTGAAAAATAAATATTTTATGTATGCAACACCGGGGCGATAAAACATTGTCTCAGAGTAAGGTGTTCAATGAGAAAATTGGTTTCCACAGCTAATAAAACAAGTTTAAAGTGATCGTTCCTCAATACGACAAAACCGCAATTGCTAATATAAAGTGGTTTAAAAGTCAATTTCATGCTTAATTTAATCGCCAATGAATATTAATAAGTAAAATGTAATGATTTAGTTTTGTGATTGTTATCTTTTAAATGTAAACAATGACTTATTGTTATAGATCTTATACATATTCAAAATTGAATATATTTCTGTAAATAGATCGTAAAAACTTTTGTAATTTCATAGTCAATATAAGGCCGGTAATCAACATTGACCGCTAAAGTTGAAACTAATAATATTACTTATCTTGTAATAGTGTTAAAAAATGTTAATCCAAATAGCAGTAAATATCAATGAACATACCTGAAACTGCTGCAAGGATGGATGACCCAGTGACCCGCCGCTTTTTGCCTGATGCGCTCCTTCATCAGAGCCTTTTTTGAGCCGAAGAGTTTCATTGCGAGTTTGTTGTCTGTAGGCTGGAAGAGTGCTTGTAACTGGTTGCGCAGAAAACCCTGCTTGGCGTCGGGGGCTGGTGGTGCAGGCTCCACTGGCGTGCCGTACAGAGACACATCGTCTAGACCACCGAAGTGGACTTTGCCCGTGCCGCTGCCCTGCTTCAGCGACATATCGGCGTCGCCTGAGAACAAACCAAGACGTTAATCGCACACACGCTCTAGGTAAATGAGCAAAAGGCTCTCCTTGCGTACAGGAGAGCAATGCGTCAGAACATGGAAATATCGGATGACGTCGTCGCCCATTATGACCACCGCTTAGATATGTGGGCGGTGCATTACGTTTTCTATAAGAAATTATATATTACACAAATTCCATAGAAGGAAAAACACTATAGTACCTAATTTATTATTTTAAATAAATTTGTAGTTGGTTCTCAAAATAGTGACAGAAAAAAGCTTAGAATTTTTAAAAAGTTTAAGATACTAAATAATCTTTAACAAGACATGTAAAAGTATTATAAAATTATTATCATCTCCTTATATCAGAGTCCAACACCTTCTCAACCTATTTCAAAAAGGAGGAGGTACTCAATTCGACTGTATGTTTTTTTATGTGGGTACCTCCTCTACCTACCTCTTAACTTTTTTCTGAGTGAACCAATTTCGATCATTTTTTTTATTTGAAAGCTGGTGCTTCTCATATGGTACCACATAAATTTGATCAAGGTCTGACCAATAGTTTTTGAGTGATTCTTAATAATTTATAAGGAAGTCATTTGTACAAAATTTTTAATTTTAAAATTATAAGTTAGTAAAGTTGGACTCATTCAATATTTTAAATATTAAAATTTAAATACATTTATTTACATAATATTGAAATATATAAAATTAAAAAAAAATAAGTAATTAAAAAGAACTAAAACTAAGAATATACATTAGAATTGAAATTAATGTAATTAAACTTAGATATTTAGACGGATTCTGTTCAAATTTTTAAGAACTCTTACTAAAGGTAATATCTAAATCTCACTTTTTGTTTAACTTCAAGTTTATGTTAATTAAGTGAGATGTCCATGTGTAGTATTAGTCATAGGTTATCTTTTAGATTATAGAACAAAATAATCTGTTAGCTCTTAGTAGCTCCTTTGTTAATTACTTGAATTTAAAAAAAAAAAAAACCCTATTTGATATTTATGGCCTTTCGCGGTATTATAATAAGTTTGACAAATCATCGGTGACTGTTCTTCGACTATGTTATTATAGTACAATAATATTTTTATTGTATTATACAATAATACAATATCTGTTATATCAAATAAACAATGATTGATTTTCATCCATGTTGACCACAAAACATATCAATTTTGATTAAAAATTTTAATAATCGTTGTGATACAAATGTTGCTTTTCAATTTTATTTAATTTTCATAATATCTTTCTACAGTCAATGACAAACGAACAGAAATAAAATTGTGTGTCAGTAGTAAATAAACGTAGCTAAGTATTAAAGGAAGTGAACAAGTTAAAAAAGAGCGAGGTTACTACGATACCTTAAAGCGTTGCCAACAGACACAATGTCGCCAGATACAAGAAAACATTAATAAAAATATGACACTAGATTTATAAGTTGCACCTATGTATGTATCTGCAAGTAATTCGAATAGCACTACGGATACAAAACTTAAAGTAAGTGCATTTAAGGTACATCAAAAAGCAAATTTCTACAACGATTTAGCTAAGAGTTATGAGGTGAAAGGTATAATATACCGTAAGCTTATTAAATTACTGATTGTTTTTCCAGTTAACTGCTTCCAGCTCGCAGTTTCAACAATCCTATGTTGCAGAGTATAGAGTTCGGAATTAATTCTCATGTGTAAGCATCGAACAATTGAATATTACTAAAAGGAATACGACAAATGTATACATAGTAGTAATGTATTGTTCCTTCAATGCATTCGATATAACAGTCGACAGTTGTCTTTAGGGTTGGTATAAAGTTATGTGTAGGTTGACTATAAGACATCAAATACAACTAATTATACATGGAAAAACATCTCCGTGATGCACGAGTAATTATCAAATAAGATAAAAAACTTTTTTTGAAAAAAAAGCTGTCTTTTGTGGAGCTTAAGAAATGAAATCAATTTTGTTGTAGATGGTATGTGGCAAATTAAGAGGAGCGTGTTAATTTTTTCATTATAAAAATAGATTAAATTAAATACTGAAATTTTTGCGACAGTACATAGGTACACAACAATTGGATGAGTGTTAAAACAGTCAAAATCATAATGATCCGTAGCACGAGCATCTTGGGTATGTCCATTACAGCTGATAAAACAAACGATTAAACAATGAGCCAATGGCACTTCATTGATTCAAGTGGCGTCAAATGGTGTAACACGAGATCGCCAATCAACCCACTCGGTCCTTTGACTGTAGTATTTGCAACAATAAACTCAAAACTATTCTTAGAATTCAATATGCACTACGTAAAAATAAAAACATAAATAAAATTTGAAAACATTTGTTCGCGTGATATTAAATTTATATTTAAAACAAAACGGCTGGATCATTCCAGTCCCAGTCTCAATACAAATACTTACTTCACACTTAAAAGCAAAGTGTGAGTCAGTGTCAGAAAAAAAGTAATTTTTTATGGAATTGAGATAATAACTGAGGGTTACACTGAAAGTTCTTAGAAAATCAAAAACTGAACAAACTAGCAAGTTATTAGTTTTATTATATCTTTTCAAAATAGTGTTCATTTACATCAACTCATCGCTGCACCCGATGGAGCCACTGAGAAAAGCCTTTGCCCACTCAACTTTAGGTGTCTCTTCGACGGCATTTCGAAACGCAGCCTCTGCTTCCTCGGCGTCCATAAAAAGTTTTCCTCAAAGTTTTTCTTTTATTTTCGGAAATAAATAAAAATCACAAGGTGCGAGGTCAGGGCTATAGTGCGGGCGATCCAGTTATTCCACGTCTGACATCGCCACGTAGTGGATTGTTTGCTTGGCGGTGTGCGACGAGGCATTGTCATGGTGAAGGAGGATCCTACTGCGAGGTCGTTTCTCCCAAACTTTTTACAAGACAATTGTTAGTGTACCACTCTGCAGTAACTGTTTTTCAATCCTCTAAAACAATTGTTGCGTAATGACCTGTCCTTCCGAAGAACGGGGCCACCATCTTTTTTCCCACGCTTCGACATTTCTTCATTTTAGTTGGCAACTCCTAGGAAGGAAACACCCAGACTGCAGACGGTCACTTAGTTTCAGAATCATAACAATAAATCCAGCTTTCGTCACCCGTAAGGATGTCGAACACAGCATTTGAGTTACCTCCGTTAAATCTTTGAACCATTTCACGACACCAATCAACACGACGGAGTTTTTGAGCCTATGTCAAATTATGTGGTATCCACTGGGCATAAAGCTTCCTGACCGCTAAACGTTCTTGGAAGATTTTGTGCACTTGACTCATACCGATGCCTAAGCTTGTCCGAATCTACTGATAAGTCTCGTTTTTCTCTCTCTCTATCATACGCCGCATAACACTGATGTTATCTTCAGTAGTCGCTGTAGAAGGCCGTCCATCACGCAGATCATCGGTGAGATTAGTGCGACCACGTTTAAACTCATTAAACCAGTTATAAACAGTGGCACGAGATGGGGCTTCATCGTGAAATGCCAAAATTTTCTCGAAGTCTATCATAACTTCCTTGTAGACTTAAATGACTTCGAAAGTCATGAAATGCATTGTACGAAAATTTTCTCGCGTTAAATTCATGCTGACGTGATACAGACAATTTTCAATTTGCCGCCAAATCGTAAACAAATGACAAATTAATATAATACATCAATACAAATAAATAAAATTGAAGTGTCTGTTTGTAATGTCAAATTACAGCTTTTTACTAAATGCATGTGAAAGTATATACGGTACTAATAACAAAAATGCAATTTTTAAAGTTTTTGTCTATCTGTCTGTCTGTCTATCCGTTTGTCGGTCTGTTTGTTCCGGCTAATCTCAGAAACGTCTGGACCAATTTTGACGGGATTTGCACTGACAGATAGCTGATATCACAAGGAGTAACTTAGGCTACTTTTATTTTAGAAAAATAATTAGGGTTTCGCGCAAAAAACTTAAAACCCCAATATACGCGGATGAAATCACGGGAAACAGCTAGTACACAATAATATTGGCAAAGAGTTCCATTTACAAAATTTGAACTTATTTTTTTATTATATCGTTTACAAATGGCCAGTTCTAAAAAATTCTGTGTCGCCCTCGTATTTGTTCATTTGAAACTATGAAACAATATTTTCAAAATAGAACCGAACCATTTTTTTTTCCAAATAGAAAAAAAAAGGATTTCTGCATGTGGCTATGAGGTAACATTTTGGATAAGATGTGCCAGAAAAGAGTTCGGATTTTTATAAAATTACAAACTTATTAAAGTTAGTACTGTGGAAACGATAAAGTCATTTTGTGAAATTATTTGTCGAGCTTGGTTTTGCTGCATTCTTTTTTAACCTTGGAATTGACAGTGAATAGTGTTGTAATGGAGATGATTATATGTAGATTGTTATGGACTGGTTGGTAGAGAATATAAATATATACTGTAAAGTATATCGTTCAGGACTTATATTATAAATCAAGAAAGTGTAATTAATCAAAACGTGAAATGGTTAAAAGCTTTAAAGAAGTAATTATATTTTAACTTAGCCAAATATTTTATTTCATATATTTAACTTTAAGTAAATCTTTCCTAATACTTATATACGTACGTACGTTACGTACTAAGTTAACAGAGAAATTAAATTAACAGAGAAATCTTGCGAAGAATACAATGTACAGTAAAAATATCACATGAGTAATTATAACAGAAACAAAAATTAAAAAAAAGGGTTATATACCTATTTTTCTACTTACAATATAAATCAAGCAGGATTTATGAAGTAGATGAAAGTTAAAGTACCTACACCAATCTTTTATGTGGATGCAAATTATTAAGCGATTCCTATGCGTCAGAGGATAAATGCATTTGGAAAAGATGGTCATGCAAATTTTTAGGGATGTAAAATTTTTAATTACAAATCCCTTTTTATTCGAATATTCGTACTTACCCCTTGGCATTTCTGAAGATAACACAAATATGTTTCCCACAAAATCCTTATTAATCGTCAGTTACGGACAGGTACATTTGCAAGCTTTCAGGGACCCCATGCAGTTCTGGTTCGCACACATCACATGTAACATTGATCAAGTTTAGTGACAACACAACATCACCAACAGACAATACAAACACCAAATTATTTTGATTAATTTGTTTTCTGTTTATAACCCGAGTTCACTTTTATGTTTTCATGTTACTGCAGCTGCAGTTGTAGCTGCTGTTTTAATTTTATATTCTCATAATTCGTAAGCTTTATAAATTTATAAATATAATATAGATCTTGTTGAGAGTTTTTTGGTACCGGTATTTAAATTTTGTGAAAACATTGTTTAATAACTTTTTATATAATTATTTTTTTGGAAAAGCAATTGTGTTCAGTTTGTGCTGTGTATGATTTAAATCTGACGATAATTATCATTATTAGTTTATTATAGATATTTAAATTTTTTATTTATTATTAGTTTTAATAAATTGTCAATTTAATGATCGCTTAATTATGTAAAAACGTTCAGAGTCAGAGCATTCATCTGTTGCACCTGAGTATTCATAAAAAATGTTTAATAGAGGCAACCAAAATATTTGGGCAGGAAACATTAAATTTCTCCGTCAATAACAATATTAAGAAATCTAAATATAACTTTAGACCCTCTTCCTTGAAATAAATTAGGGTTGACAAAAATAGCTAACGTATTTTAAATTACATTAGATGTGAACTGTAGGTTACAATTTAACTAGTTACATATCTAAGATAATCTAAGATAATAAAGTTTACCCCTCGTAGCTCAGTTAAGGTGCAATTTGACAAGAGCCGTAAGTGCAAATTGTATCTGAGAATAGAACTGAAGACGTCCCCGGCAATTACCGGCCAATTGAGACAAAAGGATAATGTTTTGCCGCCGTGTCAAGGTCGACACGCTTTATTTGTCTAATTAAAAAAAATTATATGTTAGATTTATTCATTAAAAACTATAATTTCAGTATAGCAAATATTTAATATGCTACATTCTTTTTGGCTACGATTTGTAAGAGGTGAAATTTATCAGATTTAGAGTAAAATCAGCTTCCTAATACTAAATTTTATTACCAAACAATTTTACCAATAAGCCAGGCAAATATAGGTATCCATGAAATAATAATACAGTCAAACGCTAAAACTCCTGCCTATTCTATATTATAATATTGCGATAAACGTTGATAGATTAACCATTATGTATAGGTATTTCAAATGTTTATTATGACATCAAAATTGCGTGATTTAATTTAAATAGTTTCAGTGCTATGTGCAATGAATTGATTGTTTAAATATACAAAAAAAATATCAAGTATTTTATTCAGCGATAGTGTATTACGTAATTAAATGGTGATATGTTTTGATAAATTTTTTTCCAAAAATATTGAGATCTATATTTTTTGTTAAATGACAGTCTGTCTTGACTCATGAACAGAATAAGGAAGCTTGTAAATACTCATGAAGAATGACTTCCGACTTAAGAATTCGAAAGGTCACTAAGTTGTAAATGTACTAAAAATAATTACGAATGATACAGCGCGGCGTCGGACCAACTTTATAATTATTAAAATTGGACGTCAGCTTTGGATTACATTAGAAAAATACTTAATTAATGATTGTGGATGTATATTTGTGTGTGATATATTTTATAAATTATAAACAATAATTACTTTACAATGAAGAATGTAAAAAATAGCTCAGTGCTTATAAAGTAATGCCGTATAAGTATGACTTACGTGATTGTATTTAACATATTCATTCATAAAGAAGAAAATGTAACTTCGGTATTTCTAAAGTCGTAGTACTGATAATTTTTTTTATAGGATGAGGGTGGCAAGCGAACACACAGTCCACTTGATGTTAAGTGGTGACTGTAGCCCATAGACATCTACATCTATCATCGTTTGCGAATCCAAATGCAGATGTGTTGTCAGTCTTGAGGACTAAAATGGAATGCCTCTTTTCCAGCAAAAAGAGTCTCCGGTTCTATACACTCACCATACGAAACACAGCAGCACTAAGCTGCTATTTTACGCTGCTATTTTGCGAGATCGTGGTCATTCCCCGGTCAAGCCGACCTATTCGTGCTACAACTATACAATTAATATAGCTGCAGCATGGCTCTACCATGTGTATTACGTACCGAAACATTTTTATGTTGCCTGTTTCATGTTTTCCTGCTTGTGCGGCTTAATTTATTTATTAATCTTTAATGGTAACCTAATAAATATACTTTAAATGAGTTTGCTTTTATTTTCCTAAGATATTAAACTGTCTACCGAGGGTAAAAAGGACGCTGGGAATTGCAAATTTTACAAAGAGTATAATTTTCTTAATGATCATCAACGTGTTTTTATAACGCGACGTTCTTGTTATTTCGTATCCGTAATAAGATATAAAACAAAGATAAGGCAAAACATATTACAAATAAGTTTTACATATTATTATCGTAATATATATTATGTGTAGTTCTAGGCGTACGTAATGTCGTTTCTGGGAAACGTTTCTAGAAAGTTGCATTGAGGTCTGCGGTGATTGTATATTGATGAGAGCGGAAATAGTTTGAGTAACATGTTCAGCTAATGAAGTTGCTAAAACATGTTTAAATTAAAATATACTATGAGATCTAATCATTTGAATTCAATATAATATTGATTAACAACAGTATTATTTTGTTATAGAGATCGCAATAGGAACAGACACAGCTGATGTTAAGTGATGTGTCACTGATATCATTTGTAGATTAAACTATAATATAAGTTATTTTCGAAACAGGAATGGTTAGTAAAGTTTATATTATTGTGAACTACTAAAATCAACCAAACAATGAACATGTGCGTTTGTTTATAACATAACCCGCAAATAGTTTCCAGTGAAGCTACGACTATGTACTTACTTTCGCGTCCGGCAAGTCCACATGTGTATTTCCTTAGCTTGTGGAATAGGTAATTCATAAAACCCGCACAGCACATATTGAAGGTTTGTAACAACTGTTAGTTTGAACGTCAGCTGGAGTTGTGTATGAACTACATTTTTTTGTTATTAAGTTGCGCAGGCGGCGGCGAGCGGGCAAAAGGCGTGCGCGGTCGATCAACGCGCATAGCACACAATACAATCGGCCCCGGGCTTATTCAATACCAGACACGCTACAGCGACCCCGAAAATAATGCACCGAGCTTATACAACAAAACCGAACAACACTCAATGAACGGCTGACCCACTCCGCACTCCACCATGCACTGACTGTGATATTTTTTCCTCAGCCGCCGACAATTAATGTCAATGACTGACGAAAGTAAAACAGATCGATTGTAGGTATGCTGATCAATAATGATAGAACGCGTTGTTTTAAAACCACGGAAACTACAATAGTGTTTTGAATTGTTGGCATATTGTTGATACTTACTGTGTATACCATTATGAGTGCGCTGGTGTTTCTGTTTGTGTCACGTTTTAAATCGACTGTGGCCTATTCTAGCACTTCTTGTCAGTCTTTAAAAATTTACTGTTGGATATTAGGTCTTTTCAAGGGTTCAAGAATTAATTTCATAAGAAATTTCTTTTTTTATTTCCTTACCACCCTGAAAAGGCAGGTAGAACGGATACACTGAAAAAAAAATATGCTCGCCATCACCAGTTTGTTGGCTTAGCAATTCCATCAATGAACACATCCTAGTGTATTTTCTCAATATGTTATTTAAAATTTGGCAATTATCTATTAAATCTAATTTGCTAATACAAAAAATTGCCTCAAAATGGAAGAAGTTAAGACCAATTTTTTTTTAATAATCGTAGTAAAGTATAATACATAACATTGAAAAATATACAATGTTAAAAACTATAATAAACAAGATCTTGGTCACTGTGGAAATTATAAAACACATCTTTCTCCACAATCTGTACCAACGGAATATCCTACTGTTTTTGTTGGTTAACTTCTAGTGGAACATTTTCGCCGGGACAGCCATAACCTAATTATATAAAAATATTCAAATGGTTACGAATTCTTTGAAATTCCAAGTATAACGTGAAATAAGAAATTATAATGTAAATAAATATATAAATAACTTAAAACGTTTAGGTTGCCACTTTTAATTCGACAACAAGGTCTGAGCAGGTATTTCTGTTCTTGTTGAAATTATACATTCATAATAGGTTTAATGTATTATGTTAATGAATTATATATCAATAAAAGCTATGTTTTAAAGTGCTCGCAAATAATGCATGCTTACTGTTAAAGGTACGCAAAAGGGAGTTGAAGTTAACATAGCACACCGTTTGTTCGACAAGGACGTAGAGTATCCATCTGCACATGGTCAAATGGCTGCCATAAGAATAATTAATTTTTAAACCTACGAAAAGACAAAAGAAAATGTTAGAATTTCGAGGCATGCCCCATTCACCCACCGGTTTCATCAGTGTCTGCAGGAGGAACTCCGATTAACCCGTGTATTAACTGCATTGCACTTTGTGCCTAATTTATATATTATCCAAATGTTCGCGGCCATTAGGCCACTTCAGCCGCACCTCAACTTACTGACAGTGATATTTCTTGATAGGTGATATCGTGTTTTTGATTAATTTAACAGACTGCCATAGTCCAATGATTGCGCGGGTTAACATGAATTCGTCATGTCGGTCGTGCCCTATTATTTCCCTACTTTTAGTAAAGGTTTTTTTTTATAGGAGAGGGGGCAAACGAGCATGCGGCTCACCTGATGGTAAGTGACTACCGCCGCCCATGAACAACTGCAACACCAGGGAAGGAATTGCAGATGCGTTGCCGGCCTTTTAAAAAGGAGTACGCTCTTTTCTTGAAGGTCCCTAAGTCGTATCGGTCCGGAAAAATCGCTGATGGTAATCGATTCCACAAGGAAGTCGTGCGAGGAAGAAAACATCTTCTAAATCGCACAGTGGTGGACCGCCAATCATCCAGATGGTGTGGATGGTATCGGGAGTTCTGCCGCGATGTGCGTTCGTGAAATTTGGCGGCTGGGATTAATCCGAACAATTCCTCAGAGCACTCCCCATGGTAGATGCGAAAGAAAATGCAAAGGGATGCAACATCTCTTCGCAGTGCCAATGAATCGAGCCAATCGGAAAGGGCTCGGTCGTCGACGATTAGAGCCGCTCTGCGCTGGATGCGGTCAAGTAGAAGGAGCTGGCACTGGGGAGCCCCTGCCCAGAGATGGGAATAGTATTCCATGTGAGGCCGAACCTGCGCCTTGTAAAGTTGCAGGCGGTGTGCCGGCATGAAATACTGTCCCGCTCTGCTGAGCACGCCAAGCTTTTTAGAGGCCAATTTGGCCTTCTCTTCCAAGTGACCACGAAACTGCACGTCACTCGATATGTCGACTCCGTGGATACCGATACTGGCTGAGGCAAGAAGGGGAGTACCTTGAAACTGAGGAGATACGACAAAGGGGTTTTTTAGCGGTAAACGCGCAAACTTGTGTCTTCTGAGGATTAAACTGAACTAGATTTAGTCGCCCCCAATCCTAGACTCGGCAAAGACTCGACTTCAGACACAAGTTTGTTCCGGTACTCGGCGACGTTCCCCCGAGAAATATTGGCACGGCCGGTGTATAGAGCATCACCAGTGCTGTCATCCGCATAGCAATGAATGTTACCAGTTAGCAACATATCATAGATATGCAGAAGAAACAGCGTTGGTGATAGCACATAGCCTTGTGGAACACTAGCGTTAATAGGCTTGTAGTCAGAACATGCACCGTCTACAACGACCTTGATGCTCCGATCTGCAAGGAAGCTGGTGATCCAATTGCACAATTTCTCGGGAAGCCCATAGGAAGAGAGCTTCGAAAGAAGCGCTTTATGCCAAACCCGATCGAAGGCCTTCGCAATGTGCAGACTAACGGCCAACGCCTCCCCCTTGGACTCTACTGCCTCCGCCCATCTATGGGTCTGGTAGACCAGAAGATCACCAGCTGATTGACCCCGACGAAAACCGTATTGGCGGTCACTAATCAGCTGGTGATCCTCAAGGTACCGGATGAGCTGGCAGTTAATAATGGATTCCATTATTTTGGAGAACAAGGAGGTGATCGCGATAGGCCTATAGTTGGACGGGTCTGAGCGGTCGCCTTTTTTAGGGATCGGGTGGACAAAAGCTGTCTTCCATGAATTCGGGACTACGCCTTGGGAGTAGGAGTACCGGAAAAGACGCGTTAGGACTGGTGCCAACTCCGAAGCACACGTCCTCAGCACAATTGGGGGGATTCCGTCAGGCCCACTCGACTTCTGGATGTCCAGGGAGAGAAGTGCTTTGCGAACCGAGCGCTGTGAGAACAGTACGTCCAGCATGGAGCACTCACATCGCGGGATGGTCGGCGGTGTTTTCCCCACGTCATCAAGAGTCGAGTTGGACGCAAAAAGGGAGCCTAAAAGGTCGGCTTTCTCTTTTGCGTCATGGGCCAGTGAGTTGTCCTCCCTGTGCAGAGATGGTAGTGATGGCTTACAGAAATTCCCTTGGACAGCCTTGTAGAGAGACCAGAATGCATGGGTTTCCGAAGGAAGGCGAACTAGTTTCTCGCCAATTCTGCCCATGTGCTCTGACTTTGCCTTGGCAATAACTCTTTTGAAGGACCTGGAGGCGAAGTTATACTTCTTTTTAAGTATGCTGGTGTTTACATCCCGAGTCGCCGAAGCCGCAGCCCAGGCTTGATAACACTCCTGCTTACTGCGTAATGCAGTCTTACAGGAGCGACCAAACCAAGGCTGAGATCTGCTTCCGATGGGTACCACAGATGATGGAATAAATAGTTCCATTCCGTGTAGCACCACATCAGTGACAGAGTCAGCAACAGCGCTGGGATCATCCGGCGAGAAGAAAACCCGCCCCCATGGTTAGGATGCAAAGAATGACCGCATTCCGTCCCAATCCACCGACCTGTAATGCCAAACACGGCGGCAACCTGCAGACCGCAACCGCGAAGGGAGCGTGAGTGGCACCACACTCCGGATCAGACAATGGTCCGAAGAGCTGAGAGGGGCATCGACGGAAACCTAATATCCGTCCGATAGAGAGGTCAGCAGAAGGTCCAACAGGGAAGGTGTATGATCCTCCACATCTGGAATCCGCGTAGGCGAAATAACCAGTTGTGTCAGACCATATGCCAAGGCAAAGTCATAAACAGATCTCCCCGCATGATCGGTTAAACGTGAACCAAGCCATTCGGCATGGTGGGCGTTAAAATCGCCAAGGATCACGATCTCTGCGGATGGGACCTGTTGTAGCAAGGAATCTGTAGCCATTTGGACGTGGTCGATGAGTCGGTCTGTTTCGGCATAACCGCTATGGGACCTATAGAGGCACCCGTAGACGCGCGGATGGTCGTCGCTGTCTACGCGTAGCCAAAGGATGGACAGGTCCGAACCTTCAAGACTGCCGAGGCGTCGAGAACAGATGTTCTCTCTGACATACACGCAAACTCCAGCCCGAGGCACAAAGGAGTGCTGCAATTTGTACCCCGGGTAGGAGAGATACGAAAAATCAGCCGGAGAGGAAACCTGCGTCTCGGTCAGAAAGAGCAAGGCCGGCTTCGCCGTCTCGAGATGGTAGTGGACGCCGTTTAGGTTAGAGTGAAGTCCCCTGATGTTGCAGAAATTCACGGATAGCGTGGCAGGGGTCGCCTTGGTATTGTTGCTCAGTTTGCCTCTAGCAGTTATGCTTATGAGCGGAATTTTGCCCCCCCCCAGAATACGCGGGGCAGCCTGAGCACCCACGCTCAGGATCGGAATAACATGATCGTGGATGCTCAGCGAGGGATTCTCCAGGGGTACTGGTACCCTCCTGGGGTATTTCATCGTGTAATTCCACTACCATGTTGATGGGAGGTGGGGGGGGGGGGGGGGGAATTGGGCCTCCGGCCACCTGCAAAAGGTGTACAAAGGTATACAGAGTTATGTGTTTACATTTGTTTGTGTATCGAACTAGGTACGTATTTATAGGCCGCTTACGCTAACAATAACTGATTTTCTGACTAACATAACTTTTAAAACTCTGTGTGATTAAATTCTATGATTGTTTGACTTATCACAATAAAAGTACATACCTAGGAAGGTGAAAAAAAGCAACGTAGTTAATA